ACACACGCTTCAGTCCACAGTCACGCCCGTGGGCCGAGAGCAGACCATAGGGAAAACATGATGATGATGATGATGATGATGACAACGAAGCCATTCATGTTGCATTTTTACATTGCTGAAATATTTAAAAAAAGGTGAAACAACGGGACGGCTTTCCCTGACTAATGAAAATAGATCCGTTAGCTACATGGTTTTCACTGGACAGCAAGTTTGATTGAATATTGATAATTGATTATTAATTAAAATTGATAGATTAAATTTCCCTTCTGGGATGAATAAAGTATTTTTCATTTCATTTCATTCAACTGAGTGTTGTTACACTGCCCTCTTGTGGCCACACATTAGCACTACACCACTGAAAAAAACCATTAAGGCACATTTAAATTCCTCCCTAGACTACCAGGGAGTCAGTTAACTAATAAACAACTGAGAAGTATCCCAAGGACTTCTTAAGTTTTCCCTGCACCCTCCAATGACCACCTTGGAGAAAGAACTGATGTGTGCTCCAGCTGCAGGAGGAAAGAGGCAGTTTACTTGGAGCTTAGATGAAGAGGAAGACATGGGAGGAAAAACAAAGAGGTGACAATGTTTAGACAGATGAGAGAAGAGAGGGCCTGACTGTCTTACCGGTGCTGTTGGGACAGAGGCGAGCCAGCAGCTCAAAGCGAATGTCTCTCTCCACACTCATAGAGCGGGCATGGATCTTAAAGATGTGGGTGCGACCCTGCAAAAAAAGAACAGGGTGAGCTCAGAAAGGAGAAATGGTTGAACTGGAAGCAGCTACACAGAACACACACAAGTGGAAATGAGAGTAGAATTAATTGTTATGTCTAATGATGCTAAAGCTTACCTCCAGGTCAGGCAGGCTGAACTCGATCTTCCTGTCCAGACGTCCAGGTCTCATCAGGGCCGGGTCCAGTGTGTCAGGTCTGTTGGTGGCCATCAACACTTTGATGTTGCCACGAGGGTCGAAGCCGTCCAGCTGGTTGATGAGCTCCAGCATTGTTCTCTGGACCTCGTTGTCTCCACCAGCACCGTCATCGAATCGAGCACCTGGAAGATTCAAACACATACATGGAGACATTCGTTTTCTCACAGGTCGGTTTAGATTCTTAAGAAAAAAATTAATAAATAAACAAAAAGACCCCAAACATTAAGTATAAGAGCTACACTGATCAATCTATTAGTTCTCTACTATTGAAGTAACTGCCAACTATTTAAAAAATCTGTACACTTTTCTAGGTAAAAAAAAATAATCACAGGTTTATAAAAGTGAATATTTTCTGGTTTCTTTCCTCCTCTGTGACAGTAAACTGAATATGTGTGGGTTGTGTAGAAAATAAGACACTTCAACTTGGCCTTTGAGAAACACTGAAAATCATTTTTAAAAAACCTTTTCTGATATTTTCCAGACTAAATAACTCATCAATTAATTAGGAAAATAATCACCAGATAAAGTGACAATGAAAGTTTCTGCTCGTTGCAGCCCTATCCAGTTTGCCATGATGGGAGGCGAGACAAAAACTGTACAGACTGTTGCACCAAAATGAATGAATTTTAAGAGACACTTTTGAACGTAAACTATAGAGATGTTCCCGTTCATCAACAATAACCTCCACAAACAATTTAATTTGATGTTGCCCTCATGTGATCTTTGTGTTGCCACATTTTCTAAGGGTCATATCACATGTCAGAGAATATGTACTGTAAATGAATGTATAACACATTTAGAAAAAAACAAAGCAGTGGAGTGAGCCTCACCCCCAATAGCATCAATCTCATCAAAGAAGATCAGACAGGCCTTTTTAGTCCTGGCCATCTCAAACAGCTCTCGCACCATCCTGGCTCCCTGTTAACAGAGCAAGACACGAACACAGAAATAGATGGTGAATGCTGATTAGCATAAGCATTCACAATCTAAACTTGAGCCTCTGTTTTCACGGCTAAGCTCACCTCTCCCACATATTTCTGCACCAACTCAGAGCCGATGACTCTGATGAAGCAGGCGTCCGTTCGGTTGGCCACAGCACGGGCGCACAGGGTCTTTCCAGTACCAGGGGGCCCGAACAGCAGCACACCTTTAGGAGGTTCGATGCCCAGGTTGACGAACCTCTCAGGCTGGAGAGAAGAAGAAAAAGACAAATAATCAGTCAAGGAGTCTCTTCTGTGGGTGTGCTTCATTCGAGCCGGGGTAGGTGTTATAACGGAGGAAAAACGAATGGTGGTTTGGAGGTTTGTGACACTCACATGGAGGAGTGGCGTCTCAACCACTTCTCTCAGCTTCTCAATCTGCTCCTTACACCCACCAACATCACTGTAAGTCACATCAGGCTTCTCCTCCACCTACAGAACAACATGGGAGTCAAAGAGTCACCACAAAAAGTAGAGTGACAGGTAACGTATTTAAATCTAAAGTATGTTAAAATACTACCAGTCTGTGTTACACACTAGTCTAAACGTTTTTATTAATGAGATAATTGCATTCATACCTGCATCATAGTGACGGTGGGGTCGATCTTAGGAGGCAGAGGAATGTGGATCTGATACTTGTTCCTGTCAACTCTGAAACAACAGAAGGGACACTTCACTTAGCAGACTGTGCCACCACGTATTTGGCATAACTCATATATTTAAAGATACGTCATTTAAATAATTCGTCTGCCTCACCCAACTCTCATGCCCTCCTCGATGTCAGTCGGAGCCACCTGGTCGCTCAGATCCACCACAAACTTGGCAAACTGTTTGACGTTGATGATGTATTTGGGATCCTCAGAGTCTGCATTGATGATCTTTGTGCATCTGATAGAAAAAAGCACACAGGAATATTTGAAACTACAAAATGCAGATAGTGTTCAAAGGAAGTGAACGACAATCATTGCAGAATATTGAGATTTGACTTCATTTTGCCAAAGGATGGGTGTTACAGACAAGATTTTCAGCTTAATACAGCAGACAGATGAGTAATTTAATGCTTTTTTATTTTACACAAAGATTTAAACTACTTTGATTTAAAATAATGGGAACATTACTTGCATCAGGAATGGAAGCCAGAAGATACAAGATGAAAAAAGAGCCATGCATAGAAAGATTACCAAAATCTTAATAAACATAAGACAGCTTGCTTTACCTTGCTACTTGCAGCGGCTGTTCACTCTGCAGAGTCTGTTTGTCAGCAGCCAGATCCCAGAGAGCTGGTGGAGCCAGGCCTGTGTCTGACTCCTTAATGCCTGGCAAATTCAAAGAAAACAGCAGACACTTCAATTACGACCCAGCATCTGAAACCTGTGGTTTGGTGATAATATCTGCCATCGTATGAGTGTATTCACGATTCTGTTACCCACCTGTCAGCTCGTTGATCTTTTTGAGCAGCTGCTGGATGTCATCTTCCACTTGTTTGATCTGCCTGGAGTAGGTGCTTTGACCCTGGTGATAAACACAAAGAGCCAGAGGTGGTCATCTAGTAGTGTTGCACAGTTTACCCGTTCTAGGACACTGTTGCTAAACCCTGCCATTAGACACAATAACTTACCCATTTTATTAGTATCAGTACTTAAACAATGACAGTGTTTTATAGAAGGTGTATTTCCTATGAGCTGCCGTCATATTGAGCAAAACAACTGCTTTTTTCTTTTCCTTTACTTTCCTTTACTTTTACTCACACTGTTCCTATGGTGACAAAACAAGAGTGTCTACAAATGGTCCACAAAGCATTTAACCTTGTATGAGCCGCAGTGGGACGTGTGAAGGTGCAGAGACAAAACAAAATGTATGAACACTCTGTTGTGCAATAATTAGCTGCTGTTGTTTTATGCTTTCTCTTCACATCCTCTACCACCTTATATTGACATTACCAAGATAAGATAAGATAAGATAAGATATGCCTTTATTTATCTCACAGTGGAGAAATTCACATCGTTGATAGCAGCTTTCAACAGACGTACACAGATACGACACAGGAAAAAACAAAAAATAAAAAATGTACATATAAATATAAGTATAAGAAATAGTGCAAAGGTAGATTTTCACGTTTAATTAATAAATAAGCAACTACTTTAAGTTCAGTATTCTATTATATTATTCCATCCCTTTCCCTTTCAGGCTGTGCTGATGTGTCCATGTTGATATATGTAGACAGGAATGTATAGAAGGCAGCTTTTTAGTGTCGAGACTGCGACTTCAAACTTATAGCAATAAAAGTGTGAATAAATTCACAGAATTTTCACATATCACAGGTGGTCCATAGGTGTTTGGAGGCCATACTTACATATGTTTTGAGCAGAGCGATGTCCCCTTCATCCAAAGCTGTGACGGACATGAAAACAACATGAATGAGTTTGCAGTCTGACCGGGCCGCTAGCATTGATGTCAAACTAAGAGACGACGCTTATTCCATCCTGGTTGCTAGATTTCTGATTTAACCTCAAACATATTAAAGCTTGCATTAAGCAAATGGGAGCAGTTGTCTAAGCGGGATGTAAACTGTAACCGTTTGTTTAACAATTTGAGCTAACGTTAGCTAAGTGGCTAGCTAACGGCGACGTTCCCTTTCAGTATTGACTGCTTTTTTTAAAAGCTATTTTAGACATACCTCTGATTGGTGCGTCATCCTTCTCCTCTTCTTTAATCTTCCTTTGGTCGTCTCCTAAATAGTCCGGCATATTTAGTGTGAAAAGAACTGCCTCGTAACCTACAAACTGCGCTGCTTCTGCGGCTAAACGGTACAATTACACAGCAGCTTTGGACTTCCGCCGCTATGCGCCACTCACCGGACACACAAGTCGGAACTGTATTGAGGCCGGACCGCCTATAAAAATATTTACCAGCAATACGGCTTAATATAATTACCAATTTCGATCATAAATATTGGTGAAGTTGTATATTTTTTCGGTTAATATGACAGAGTTTCAGGCTATAATTACATATATTGAAACTAAAGCTTAACGCGGAACCTCCAGTGAGGGATTCTAGCGACAACACGGAGCGCTGAACTGGGTGACACCAGCTCGCTCCTCGGATTGGCACTTGTAAAGAGAGGCCCATGTGGTGTGTTAATGAGCGGCCCACAAACTTTAGCACTTTAGAAAGCTCCCACTTGATAATTTCAGCACCTGGATGTTTGTTTAGGTCGTTTTTCTAAGATGCTGCTGGAAGCGTTGGACGGAGAAGAGACGGTGGTGCTGAGAGCCGGAGCCGGTAAGCAGTGAGAGGCCAGGAGCAGGCAGCTAGCTCGGCTACCACATCACACATCGACTGTTGCCTTGTTAGCTAGCATGCAGATAGAAGCACACCGTAAAGACTAACATGATACTATTAGTTAGTTTAAAATGTGAAAGAGCTTTATTATTCTAAATCCTTTGTGCTGTTTCTCGGTTTCTACCAGATGGTGTCCACTGTGTTGCATAATGTGAGCGAGCTGCTGCCCACTCCTGGCTGCAGTGATTTATCAGAGCTCCTGTCATTAGCTGCTCTGGCTGGCTGGCAGCTCTTGATATTAACACACTTGTTTGGCAATTCACAGCATTTAATGTCCGCAGAACAGACATTCATCACCAGGATGTTGCATAATGCTCTAACACCTGTTGTACCTTCTCATAGTCTCACTGTATTCCCAGTAGACAGAACAGGTGCAATCTTTACTGTCACAGGGCAGTTAAAACATCATTTTAATCAAACTAGCACTTCCTGTTACCCAGATGGGTGGCTGTTTAAATGTCACTGCAGTTTGCAGAGACTTGGCAATATTGCCATCTTAGAATGTATATGACTGGAGCTTGGCGACATCCAGTGAAAGTCAGCTTGGCTGCCTTGTTTACGCGTCCATGTGGTGTCTTGTTTGTGCAAAAGGACACATGATGAGTGAAATAAGAACTCAGTGCCATGTGTGAGTGTTTCCACCTAGAAGCTGCAGTGTACTGATGACAGTCTCAAAAACACAGATTCAGACTTTCGGCATTTTTCATGGTAGGACACGGGACAGTATAAAACAAAGCAAAGGAAGCAATCCTGTCAACTTGCAGTGTGAGGCTTTCTGCACCATCATTCTTCTTCAAAATCAGTTTTTGGTCATATAATGTGACCTTTATCTAAATATAGACAAGTATAGACAAATACAATTTGCTGAAGTTTGGAACACACAGATAATTGCAGTTGTCTTTTCTGAACATTTCCAATGTTGGTGGAAAATAATGAGTGAACCCTTTCATTAAATAACTGGTTGAACCTCAGTTTGCAGCTTTAATCTGAAGCATTAGTCGTAACTGTGGATCAGAACTGCACAACATTCAGGAGGAAGTGTCATGGAACTGCATCACCTCAGCCATGTTCTGTGGTTGTCAGGGCTGAATGCTTCTCTGAGGTCATTCTGAGGAGTCTGGGCTCTGACTGAGCTTCTCCAGAAGGTGGATTGTTTTTAAAATGTATTTTGATGCCTGAATGTTGTGTTTTTCATTCACATAAATGAAGACATGTCCACCATAAACTGATGTAGAAAATGCACAAACTAGTGCATAAAAACTCCCCAGAATGCAAAAAATGTCGTCTGATGCTCAGATCTTCCATGCAGATGTAATCCATTGATGTTAATGTAAACTGGATCAATCGGACACTTTAAACAGAATAAAACTAGTGAAAGGCACAGGAAGGTCTTCATTATGCTTTTAAATACTGTTCAAGCTGAAACACATCTAATGCAGTCTGGCAAGGTGTTGCAGCAGTTGGTATTTAGTTTTGTTCTTTCTTGTGTGGATTCTGGCAGCAACATTTTGAATTAAAGCTGCAAGCAGTGATGGTCGGGTTCTCGCCGTACGATTCTTGGCCTTCATGGGGTTTGGCAGAAATGTGCTCCGGGCGGGACTCTGATCCGGCGTGTCGAGCATAGTTACACACCACCATTCTGTTCAAGATCAGCTTCGATGTTTTGAGTTGTTTTCAATTACTCAACATCCTGAACTTCAACCCGGCAGCCTCCCTGATTATAAGATACATCAGTAAACCTGGGAATGCATTTCCCTTGATGATGATCCAGATCCAGAGGAGGCAAAGCAGCTCATGATGCTGCCACCACTGCTTCATATTGAGAATGATATTCTCATGTTGGTATGCAGTCTCCATTTTACCCCATCTGTCCATACATCTTCCCAGCTGCATTCAGGCGTGCAGTGATGTTATTGTTTTGGGGTTCTGGCATGCGGTATCATTTATGTTTAGTGGACTGACGAGCAGAGACGTTGACTAGCTCCATTGATTTCTTTAAGCCTTCAGCTGTTATTCTGAGCATCTTTGAGCGTCCTGTCTTGTGCTTTTCTGAGCTGACTTGAATATTTCAACTCTGAGATGACTCTATAGTCCTTTACAGCGTTACACAAATCGACAATTCTGATAGAATCTCTTTTTTTGTGAACTGTGGTTCACAACAGGAATTCTTGTGAATAGCAGGCTGAAAACGTTTTTTTTTTAACAAGGCAAAGTACCTTCAGTTCTTGGCTCCAGTTAGCTTTAGTTTCGTGTTTGTTATTAGCTTTGGGATTCACATAGTTTGAATGATGGATCAAAACGATGCAGTGATCAGTGTTTAAACAGATTGTGTATTTTACAAGAAGCATGCCAGCTATTATATCTGGTTTTAGAAAAAAATATCTTTATATCAGTTGACTTCATAAATCCTCGGTCATCCAGGCTGAATATTCTAATCTTGCTCAAACTTTTATGAGGAACAGTCTGCAGTGAGTTTCTCTGTGTCCCTCCTCAGCGTCTGTGCAGGTTCAGGTGGAGCCGGTGGGTCGATGGTTCGAGGCCTATGTGAGGAGGAGAAACAGGAATGCATCAGCCTCATTCCAGGAGCTGGAAGAAGAGGAGGAGTCCTCCGAGGAGTCAGACGATGAGGAGTTTCAGCTGCAGGAGTACCCTGTGCTCCGAACTCTCGACCCTAAAGACTGGAAGGTATCTGAATGCTGTTTCTGTGACGAAAATCAAACCTGCTTGTTAAAATGACCCACACATTTGACTGTCTTTATCTGGTTGTTTTTCTATCCTGCTAAATCAGGCCTCTCTCTTCCTTAAAGGAGACTACTGTAGGACAGAGAAACTTGTCAGTACTATAAATTAAGCTTCTCCTGGGTACACCGGTCGTGTTTGTGTTATTGAAGATGTAGGTGCATAAATCACTTCTACTTTTCAAAAAAAACATGAAAACCTTCATTAAGGAATGATTTCTTTCTAATGCAAGGCTGTATAGGTGTACCTCATATCCCAACAGTTTTGATTAATTGTAATGACAGTTAGGTTGAGACGTGATGCAGTTAAATTATGGAAAAAAGATAAACAGTTGTCCAGACAGAACACTGTTACACCAGCAGTGCTTCTTGGAAGCCTTAAAATGCTGTGATCACAATGAAAACGTTCTTCAGGCAGGAGAAGGAGAGGAGGGATTAAAGCTTCTATTTAGTCAGACATGTTTGTTAAAATGCTGATTGGCTTCAATATCAGGATGCGTGCCGCTCACTTCCCCAAACAAAAGACACAAAACAGGTCTGACAAGTAAATCCAGTCTGTATGTATGTAACTCAGCAGGGGTAATATTAGATTAGAAAAGTTGATCTACAGGAGGCCTCGCAGCTAGAAGGTCGCTGGTTCGCATCCTGGTGAGAATCTTTCTGCGTGGAGTTTGCATGTTCTCCCCGTGCAGTGTGGGTTCTCTGGCTTCCTCCCACACAGTCCAAAAACATGTTGAGGTTAATTGGTGATTCTAAATTGTCCGTAGGTGTGAATGTGAATGTGCTTGGTTGTCTGTCTCTAAGTGTAGCCCTGTGATAGACTGGTTACCTGTCCAGGTGAACCTGCCTTCACCCTGAGTCAGCTGGGATAGACTCCAGCCCCCCATGACCCTAGTGAGGATTAAGGTGTAGAGATGATGGATGGATGGACCCATGCAGATGTTAATATACAAGTAAACTGGATCAATCTGACACTTTAAACACAATCAAACTAGTGAAAGGCACAGGAAGGTCTTCATTATGTTTTTAAATACTGTTCAAGTTGAAACACATCTAATGCAGTCTGGTAAGGTGTTGCAGCAGTTGGTATTTACTTTTGTTTTTTCTTGTGTGGATTCTGGCAGCAACATTTTGAATTAAAGCTGCAGTCTGTCCTCAGTCCTCTCAGGTAGACCAGTGAGGAGGATGTTTCAATTATACATCAAGAACTAAATTCATACATATAGTTTCACTGCATGTTACATTTTAAGCAATAAAGTCATCTTAAAGGTTGCAGCTCAGACTTATTTTCTGGAGCTCCCTCTGGACACGGTTAGTCTTTATTCTGCACCAGCTGCAGCGACACCCTTCATATGATTGTGTCAATTATGTATTCTGCTTCAGACTATAATTGAAATGTGACAATCGCTATTATTTCCTTTAACTTGTCAGAATCAAGATCACTATGCCGTCCTCGGGCTCCCACACTTGAGGTACAAAGCCACACAGAAACAGATCAAAGCTGCCCGTGAGTATACTTTCTCCTCTCCTCTCTCATGGATCACTTCTCTGGTTCTGTGTAAGAAGTTAGTGGAAACACATTTTGTGCTTTGTCTCCACAGACAAAGCGATTGTGTTGAAGCACCACCCTGACAAAAGAAAAGCTGCAGGAGAGCAGATTGTAGAAGGAGACAACGACTACTTCACCTGTATAACTAAAGGTACAAGTCGCTGTGACTCACTATCAGCTCTGACGTTACTTGTGGAACATCCTGACCTGAGTGTCTGTTTTCTCTCTTTGTGGCTGTTTGAACCTCAGCAATAGAAACCCTTTCCGACCCAGTGAAGAGAAGAGCCTTCGACAGTGTGGATCCTACCTTTGACAACGGCGTGCCTTCTAAGAGCGAAGGCAAAGAAAACTTTTTCGACGGATTTGCTCCTGTTTTTGAGAGAAATGCCAGATGGTCTTCCAAAAAGCACGTGCCCAAACTCGGAACCATGGAGTCATCTTTTGAAGAAGTGGATAATTTTTACTCTTTTTGGTAATTAAAAACACTTTCTATTGTTTGTTTCCAAGCGTGGGTTGTTGATTTGACACTGGAAAACAAGCCAGATAAGAATATAAACTGTTAAACTCTCTCATTTTCACTGTTGAAGGTACAACTTTGACTCTTGGAGGGAATTCTCATACTTGGATGAGGAGGAAAAGGAGAAGGCTGAATGGTAAGCTGCTGTGCTGTCCGCTTTACACAACTACTGCGTTGTATCTTTGATTTCTGGCTGTCTGACGTGTTTGAACTTGTTTCCCCTGCAGTCGAGATGAGAGGAGGTGGATTGAAAAGCAGAATCGAGCTTCCAGAGCTCAGAGGAAGAAGGAGGAGATGAACAGAATACGAACACTAGTTGGTACAGTCTCTGCAAACCAGCACACACTGCAAGAAATCATTAAACACGGGAAAACTAGCATAACGCTGCCTAAGATCTAGAAATATTTATTAAATCTCCGCCATATGCAGACATGGTTGTGCAGGCTCTACAAATCTAAGTGCTGAAAATGAACGCTGTTTATCATCTTTGTTGCTTCACTGCAGATACGGCCTACAGCTGTGACCCCAGAATAAAGAAATTCAAAGAAGAAGAAAAAGCCAAGAAGGAGTCTGAGAAGAAAGCCAAAGCTGAAGCCAAGAGGAGAGAGCAGGAAGAGAGGGAAAGAGTAAGTGTCGTTCACATTCACACCAGGTCTAAAGCATAGGATGTGTATAAAGATCGACGACGCTTCCTCACACTGTACAAACACTGAACCTAGGGCTGCAAGATGGCTCGGTGGTTAGCACCGTTGCCTCGCAGCTGGAAGGTTGCCAGTTCGCATCCTGGTGAGGACACCTGGGATCTTTCTGTGTGGAGTCTCCATGTTCTCCCCGTGCAGCGTGGGTTCTCTCCAGGTTCTCCGGCTTCCTCCCACAAGTCTAAAAACATGTTGAGGTTAATTGGTGATTCTAAATTGTCCGTAGGTGTGAATGTGAGTGTGCTTGGTTGTCTGTCTCTAAGTGTAGCCCTGTGATAGACTGGTTACCTGTCCAGGTGAACCTGCCTTCACCCTGAGTCAGCTGGGATAGACTCCAGCCCCCCATGACCCTAGAGACGATTAAGCGGTGTATAGATAATGGATGGATGGACTCTGAAGCTATAACAGACACCATCTTTATACAGAACTTTAACTTTGGTTTGCCCTGGTAGAGAAGAAGAGAAGATTCTTGGCAAGGATTTGCAGTAAAGCTGGAACATTACCAGGATATGTGTGAAACCAAAGGAGCTGAGTGGAGGTGATGAGTATGAGGTGGAGCCAGCCAATAGGTTTTATAGTAACATGTGCTGACATGTTACATATACATATGTAGTAATATTCAGGAAAATCTACGTGTTTTAATAGTTTTTGGACAAGAATGGAGCGTTGTGATGCAGACAGATCCACACTGCTCTTATTGATAGGAAGAAAATTGTAAACCTGTAGTTTACTCATACGAGACACAAAAATGGGGAAAAAAAGTTCTCATCATTAATGTTGCTGAAGTGTATGGTGTCTAAGAGACGGGCCGTTTCTAAAGCAGAGGCCAGGTTCCAGGTGACCACTACTTGAAATTTGCTGTGAAATCCTGTCATCACATTGGAAAACCAGTCAGCTCTGTGTGCATCTCACAGGCTCGACAAGCCGAACTGGAGGCAGCTCGATTGGCCAAAGAAAAGGAGGACGAGGAGGCCAAGCAGGTAGCCCAGCAGGCGAAGAAAGAGAAGGAGATCCAGAAGAAGGCCATCAAGAAGGAGAGGCAGAAACTCAGGACCACCTGCAAGGTTCCCTTGATAACATACTTTCAGACATTGTTGTTTTGCTTTTTTATGTTGGCTGACCTGATGTGTTGAGGTGTTTGACATGTGTTTGGGGTGTGTGTTATCTTTAGTGCTGTGGTTGCGGCTGTGTTCTGAACTCACTTCTTTCCTCCACAGAACTGGAATTACTTTGCTGACAATGAAGCAGAAAGTGTGAAAATGATGGAGGAGGTGGAGAAACTCTGTGACCGTCTGGAACTCACAAGGTACAGAGAACTATGACGTCATTACTGTGAAGCATTGTTGTCACGTTGGTATCAGGACACATTTCTATCAGTCGATCATCTGAATCTAACACACCTGGCCTGATTCAATGTGGACTCTGGTGTGTTTCTCACTGCCTCACAGTCGACCCAGAGGGAGACTCTTTTAAAAGAAGGGCTGTATTTGGCGCTTATGTGATTCTAGGTTTTCTGGCCGTCATGGTGCTTTGCATTGAGTCAGACTGCACAAGGCTAGCTGGCTCTTCTGCCATGTGTCAGACTGCCTGTCGCCCGGTGAGCATTATCAGTCCCTGCTTCCCCGACGGTTTCAGCTGGCTGCCAGCCAGAGGCTGGAGGGAGCTGGCAGGGCTGACACACAGACTGTCAGCACAGTGAGGCTCTCCGGATTATCAACCGGCATGCCACCCTTCATCCAGCTGCCATTCTGAGTTCAGACAGAACCTGGCTGTTGCCTGACTTTCACCAGGAAACCCATGACCTTCACCCTGTATGTGCCCACCAGTGCTCCAACCTGAGATGCCACAGTCTGATAGTTGACAACTTTTTTGCAACTGCTCGCTGATGATCAGATCGTTCTATGTGGGTGCTGATGATTTAGGGTGACATCACTTTGTCAGTGAAAGTCACTGGGAATATGAACCGGGTCAAAACTGAAGCACCCTGAGATCTTAGTCCTGCTCTAACTGTACAAGCTGTGATCGTCTTTGTCTTATAGTGCTTGAGATGTGTGACAGTATTTGTTGTCTGTTTCTAGTTTGCAGTCCCTGAATGAAGTCCTGGCCTCAGGCTCTAAAGAGGACAGCAAGGCAGCAGTGGAGCAGCAGGTAAAGAGGCACTTTGTCTCAAAAGATTTTTTTTGTGACGTTTCAGGTGTATTTCATACCTGATTGAGAGATACAGAACCCTCCACACATTTCACCTTTCGACAGGAACGAGTGTCGGTTGACATTTTTAACATACTCACACATGAACAACACACCAAACGGGGTTTTTTGATTTTTTTCCAGGTGCGGGAGGTGAACGCCCAGCTGCAGAGGGAGAAGGACGCCGAGGTCCAGGCCAGGCAGGCGGCTCGCAGCGCCGAGCAGGCCAGTGGAGGAGGAGGAGGTGGGGGGAAGGGCTGGAACGAGGAAGACCTCCAGCTGCTCATCAAAGCAGTCAACCTGTTCCCTGCTGGAACCAATGCCAGGTAGCCACCCAGAGTTACAGCAGCTCTTTAGTCTCATGTGTGCAGTGGCAAAACTGTGCTTGTACATTTTTATAAGTAAAAATCCCCCTTGACAGAATGAGACTCTTTATGTTTATCTGGGAGGGGACAGAAATACTTCTAACCTCACCACGGCAACAGTTTTCTTCTCAGACGCACGTTGTTGTTTGTTTTGTTTCTTCAGCTGTTCTTGAGAGGATTAATCATAGGCCTAATCGGACAGCCATGCTTTGGTTTTCAGTTGTTAAGCTCTTCAAAGACATCAAACTGTTCTTTTTTTCCTTCTAGATGGGAAGTTATTGCCAATTACATGAACTTGCACTCCACAAGCGGCATGAAGAGGACAGCCAAAGACGTCATCAACAAAGCCAAGAACCTACAACGACTTGGTAAGCTGACATTAAGAGAGCAAGATTTCCGCAGCCTACTTCAGACGGTGTTGAGTTGAAATCTGACTGTGGGCTATGTGACCTATTAACATCCACAGTGGATTTTCTAATCATCTATAGTCGGAGATGAGCCGAGCACAAACATTTTTCAGTCCTTATTTGATGTAGAGCTCTGTAGTGATGGTATATTTTAGGGGAGGGATGGCATCACTCACCAGCTCCAACGTATGTGTAGACAAAGTAAATCCTCCAGAACATGAACATCTCACAGTTACCTCATACCACCAACTGAACATATTAGTTTTACCTACAAATCCTCCCTTGGCTCGGCTGGCTTAGTTCATTGGCTGCATGTGTTAACATCGTGCACTTATTCAGGACTGTAGCATTTATTTAATTTACCTTGTTTTTAAGATGCATCTTTACATTCATGGTGTCGTGTTCAGTCTGAAACATGCTTGTCTACAATACACGTCAAGTGGAGGTAAAACCTGAGTTCTGCATGAGCAAAATATTGGCAATAGATATATTATTGGAAAAATACTGGTTTAAAAGGATTTTATAAAACCTATGAAATATTGAAACTGTTGAATACATTGTGGTAAATGTTTCTGTATTGTTAATGTCCCTCAAGCAATTACAACTTGGCTTTAAGTGCACTAAAATGTCAATAGATTGTAACCAGCTAATACCGTCTTCACTTTTGTTGCCGTCTTGTCCTTTAGATCCACTTCAGAAGGATGAGATAAACAGGAAAGCCTTTGAGAAGTTCAAGAAGGAACACAGCTCAGTGGCGCCCTCCATAGACAACGCTGTGCCCTCAGAGAGATTCGATGGTCAGTCGGTGTGGCTGGATGAAAATGTGGAAACAAGGACAAAAGCACAGTTCTTCCACCAGCATCAGTTTGTTCTGATAACCTCAGTGTTTAGTTACTTTAGTAGCTGTAGCATCGTGCAGTCAAACATCACCACTCCATTTTGGAAGCTGGTTGTCATTTCCACAAATACTGTGCTTTGTTGTGGCTGTTAAGCAATTCAGTGCGTATTATTTGAATCACTTGTGGCTGTATTTACTGAGTATTTGCTACACTGAACAGCTGAAGTAATATGAAGTGGTAGTCTTAGTTAGTCTGATGCTGTTTGCATTCATACCTCCCAGGTTGACCATTATCAACTACTAAAGATTGTGTTGCTGTGTGCATTCCCTCAGCATCTGGCAGTGACGGTAATGCTGCCCCCTGGACCACAGAGGAGCAGAAACTTCTGGAACAAGCCCTGAAGACATATCCAGTCAGCACACCTGAGCGGTGGGAGAAGATAGCAGCAGCTGTTCCTGGACGAAGCAAGAAAGACTGTATGAAGAGGTACAAGGTACGTCGATGTGGTCGCTTCGTTGGTCTATGTGCACATTCCATCGGCAGCCACTAGTCAGTTTGGTTTGTGGTGCTGAAGTGTTTTCACTGAGAGGTGGCTGTTCTGTCCAGATTAAATATAAAACACCCAGAATCCTGCTGGTGAGCTAACACGTTTCCCTGTTTCTCCAACAGGAGCTGGTGGAGATGGTTAAAGCCAAGAAAGCTGCTCAGGAACAAGTGGCAGCCAAGAGTAAAAAATGACAAGAACCACAAAAGAGAATAGAATCTGTGTTATTTTAACATTATTGTGTTGGTCTTTATTTTATAATAAAAAATTAAAGGAGGAGAAAATAACTAGAGGTGAGACTTAAATATTTTTTTCTGTTTGTATTCTGTACAGTTGATAGTTCCTCAGAGTGGTTCTGCTCAGCTTCTCATCCAGAACATCCCACTGCGGATCTGGTTGTAGTCTGGCAGCTGTTCAATTGGACCTGAAACAGAAACGACAATCAGTTTTAAGTCAAACGATGAAATGGGTCCAAATCAGAACAGGTGGTTCACGACTCGCTGGTTCAACTTCAACCTGCTGCGAAGGTGCAGTCGCTCTCAAATCAAGTCTGACAGAGATGCCTACAGCTAACCTGAGTTCTGCATTAGCTTTTTTTAAAATCAAATTACAGCAACCACAGAAAATAGACGCACACTATACCAACACTGTGCTTATTTGTAAAAACTAAATAACTACATGTATAGTAGGAATCAAGTGTCCCTTTGAAGAAAATAACGGCTGCTGTGTCGATTAATACGGAGCTTCTGGCCGTAAGTTAAGCCCAAATATTGCTTCATAGCTCAGTGAGTTTGTCTCTGAGTGTTACATGGTACTCCAAATTAACCTGAACAAAAAAAATAAAGTGCAACGTGTGTGATAATGACATAAGAACATGGAATGAACAAAATGTTTGACACAGAGCAGAGGAGCAAAGATGATATTTGGACCTTGTGGACAGAATACATTAAAGCTGTAGGACACATCAGAAGCAGAGCATGTTGTCCCGGAGTTGCAGCATGGAAGGACCATGTGGTGTTCTGTGGTTGGGTTACGTATGATGCAGGGATGCACAATTAGGTAAATACTGATCTCAGTCACAGTGTTGGCTTTCCACAGTTAAAAGAACCTAATTGACTGATAGTCACATCTAAACAAAGTTCTGCTCATAGAACACAGTCCATGTAAATACACTGTCTTGGTTTAAGCTGAGTGAAGTGGTAAATCTGACATTAGAACTCTTTTCAACATATCTGTCTGAGCTGCAGTACCTAAGTGGAGACTAGAGGCTTCTCTGTGCACAGCAGCCTGCATGGGAGGTGTTCAGGAAACATCAGTAAATTGTCGTGTCTATCCATAAGCAGATCTTCAGAGAGACCTTTTGAGTCTAATTTTATTTAGATTTTTTCAGGAAATGCACTGAATTCAGGTGACGAACATTTTCAGTCATCTTTTGATGCAGATTTGTACATTAGCAGGAATGTATCACAACATGGACGTGATACTGGAGCTCTGTTTTTTTTTTAATGTGATGAATAAAATTAATGAATAATCTAGATAAATAATTGTGAGCTCAGTACTGATGAAAACAAATGTGCCATATTAGTATGATCAGTGGCAGGACACGACCTCCACCTACAGAAAACGGCCTCCATCCCCATGAGTTAAGACACTACATCTTGAGTAGGTCAACAGGTTTCCCTGCTCCAAAGTACTTTCCTTAAATCCACTATGGAAAAAGCAACATACCAACAGCTGCGATGGCAGGAGCCCTGTTATAGATGTATTTGGTGCACACTTCTTTGATGGTGTTTGCATCAATGGCCTGTTTGAGGAAACAGAGGACACATTATTACAGTTTGCCACCACTGTCTTTTTAAAAACCTTTATTCCCTGACTTGTCCTAACCCTTTATAGGGCACTCCTTGAAGCACGTGGAAAATGAAATTTTCAACCCCAGGGTATTATTGAAGGACATTTCAAGATATTTTTACTTTGTGACTTAAAATAAAATAAAAAAACCAAATGTTGCAAATCAAGATTAATCAAATTACCATATATGGTAACTTGATTAATCTTGATTTCCTGTGGAATTCATAATAAAAGAAAAAGTAACAAACTGGAAAAACATTTATCGAGAAGCTTTTTAGTTTGAGGTAATGATACACAAGCAGTAACTAAGCATTTATACAGTGCTTGGAAAGTTCATTCAGTAACATTTTTCTTGGTTTTGGCACTAATCTCAAAAAATAAATCAAAACGGAGTTCAATGCAAACCAGCAACAAAGCCTTTATAAAGTGCCTGGAACATTTGTTTAGGGACATTTTCATAAGGCAGTGATACTGGCACGAATATAAAAACTAAATCAAAGTGCACATGGTTCTTTGACCTCAAGGAGAGGCACAGGGTGGACATGGTGAACGTCCAAGGAAGTTACCAAGTGTGGTCGCTTTCCCCATGAAGGGCTAACCGCTAACCTAGTGAATTCCATTGCATGAAGCTAAGGAAGACGAACAGACCCTACAAAAGTGACTTTTTATGACCTCAACACCACAGTGCTCAAGTGAAAACAGGCTGAACAGTAAAGCAAGAATACTTGATGTGTAATAATTAGTTTTTGACCGTTTGGGTGCTACAGAACCACTGACATGTTATCTTTTAGGTTGATATTATGAACTTGTAGCTAACAGCTGCCTACATTCTCTCTTTTTGCTCTATCTCGGTCCCTACAAGTTCCTGAGGGAAATAAGACTTTATTGCTGCAAAATGCTTCACTAAGTTCACCAGCTTGTCTCTGACTGCGTCTCTCTGTAGCTTGGTGCTAAGCAGGTACTGTTCTATGAGTTTCAGTTTCTTCAATTCCACTAAACACGACACTGTAGTTGTGATTTAACCTTCAGCTAAAGCAATGCCGATGTGTCCACTCACATCGATGCGGGCCTCCAGCTCAGGCAGAGGAATCCTGCGGTTGTAGCACAACATCTGTCTGCCGATGTCCTCACAGATCGGGGTGGATCCTGGAGAAAGAAAATCCGCACATTGACACCAGGGACTGCACCAACATATGCAGTCATGGAAAAGATTATAAGACCACCCTTGTTTTCTTCATTTTTTTGTTCATTTTAACAGCAACAGCTCTGGCACTGTGCTGCCAAAGACAGCATTTTTAGTCCCATGATACACACAGGAGTTAGTACTTGATGGCATAACCAGTGTTTCTGATGACTGCAGACATGTGTCTTGGCTGCTCTCCACCAGCTTCTGACATGTTCTGCTGTCACAGCAGCCCATTCCTGTTGCACAAATTCAAACACATTTACTTTGTCTTTGGACTTGTGGTTCTCCATTTAGCGTTTGATGATTTTCCACAGGTTTTCAACTGGACTTAGATCTGGTGATTGAGCAGGCCAAGGCATGGTTCCAATGTTCTGGTTCTCCATCCAGGCTTTAGCAGACCTCACCATGTGGCAAGAGGCATTGTCTTGTTGGAAAATCCAGTCATTGGAGGCAGGAAAGAGTTTTCCAGCTGATGGAAGAAGACTGTTTTCAAGAGCATCCTGTACATGACCTGGTTCATTCACCCTTCACACAGTCACATTTGCCCTGTTCCACCCAAACTGAATCAACCCCAGATGGTCACTGATCCACCCCCATGTTTTACTGTAGGGCCAGACAGTCTGGTCTGGAGGCTTCTCCAGGCTTCCTTCTGACCAGTAAATTGGCTGGAGTGGGCATCAACTGAAAATTGGATCCATCACTGAAGAGAACCTCAGCCCAACCATCAACAGTCCAATCCTTCTGATCCCCAGCAGAGTAACCGGGCTTTCCTCTGCCTTTCATTGATGAAGGGCTTCTTCTGTGCCCTGTGTGACTTCAGACCAGCTTCAAGAAGTCTATTTCAAACTGTCCTTACAGAACAAGTCACATTTCTCCACAGTGCCAACTCATTTTAAGGTCCCTGGAGGTCTGACGACGATTCCTGACACAGGAACAGATGAGTGCTCGGTCATCTGGTGGGTAGAAAGATGTTTCCTGCTGCCACCAGCTAGCAATGTGGTAGCACCATGTTGGGCTTGTTGTTTCTTGGTGTAATGAACGGCTGTCTTGGAGATCTTCAGTGTTTTCGCTACCTGTCTCTCACTCATGCCAATTTCCAGCAGAGCCAAGATGGCTGCCATTGTGGCTTCACATAATTCTTTTTTTTAGGCTTTAAGTGAGAGCTGACAACTTCTGAGTTGTGCTACGGTTTGAATGTAAACAGGAAACCGCCTTTGCATGTGCAGCACTGCTTTTGGCATGAAATGACCTCTTATATACCCTACAGGAAATACAATGAAGCTTCAGCATGTCAAATAGGACATAAAGTATGATGTAATCAGCTGCTTTTTTTGTCGTGTTCATTGTATTCTTCAGGTCATAGACCTTCAGTGGTACCAGGCACTAAAATGAACAAGAAATTGAAGAAAACAAGGGTGGTCTAATCATTTTTTCTGACTGTATTTGCTTTCCCATCATGTTGCCTTACCGTCCAGATGCAGGAGCATGTTGGTCTTGAGCAGATTCTTTGCCCGAGCCACCTCACTTTCTGTCACACTGGTGCAAAGAGACATCCTGACAGGAAGCAGCGATGCACATATTAATTGCAAGGTTAATAAACCGATTAGATAAAAGTAAACTCATCTCTTCTACAGCATTTCTGATTGTCCTTTGTGTAAGTGTGCTCACCATTCCATCTGAGTGAAGTGCATCATGTCGTTGATGGTGCCGGGCTCACACACCATGTAGAGCCCCCACAGGCCTGTGTCAGTGTAGCAGGTGTTGAAGGACTGGAAACTGTGGCACAGGTTTCCCTGACAGGCCATCTGAGCCAGTTTACTCGACAGATTCTGGGGTTGTGGCAGATGTAGGAGATGGGAACAGAGAGGGACACAGACACATTAACAGGTGAGTGAATGGTGTGGTTCAATGTGTGTGTACAGGTCTTTCTATATTTGTGTCAACATCTGGTCCTCACAACGCTTTGAGGGGTTTAGACTTTGTTTTAGAGTTCAGGTAAATATTAAGGGGCTAGGGAACACATTATGTACAACAGAAAGATGTGTTTCAATATGAATATGATGAATAAGAAGAAATATATTCACCAATGAAATGTGTGACATCACTTTACAAGTAGACAGCTAGAAACTGGAGGTAGCTAACTTTGTGGCCTGTCCATAATGTGTGAGGGCTCTTCTGTACTCACCACGCCTCCGCCAAATGAACGGTCCCAGTTTCCAATCAGCGTGTTGGCAACCATGAGAGGGATGGTGTCGGGGTGAGACCATCCGACTGCCTCTACGGCGATGGTGATATGAGCCAGAGGCATTTTGTCATCACGCACACGGATCTGAAACAGCAGCAGACAAGATTTCTGCAGTAGTTACAAAATTAAATAGAAGGATTTTGAATATAGCAGCTTAATTTCAACAAAGACTTCCATAATAAGTTCAGGAACAAGCCCACAAAACTGTGTTACAAGAGAACTGTTTTCTATTTTAATGTGTTTAGTTTTCTTTGTGTGTTATTATGTGGCGGTGCTAAACTGAAGACTTCCCTCTTACCTCACTTCCGGTGAAGTGGCATGGAGGGAGTGCTGGGGCTTCACCTTGATATTTGCCAGGAAGCTTTCCAAAGTGATACTTGGCCAAATCAATGAGCTCATCGTGACAAACACCTGGTCAGAAACAAATCACAGAAAGTCCTGAAGATCAGACCAGCTTTGGGTTTGCAGTTTTGTAACACTTCAGCCCATGTTGATCTGACACGAGAGGAGAAATGGAGCTCTGACCTCCAGCAGCAGCCAGCACTATTCTGGGTCCTTTGTAGTGAGTGGTGATGTATTCAACCAGGTCTCCTCTGTTGATTGTCCTGCATCACAAACACAAACAGTAAGCGTCCAGCAGACTTCAAACCAAACTAACCTGTTCATTTTCAAAACAGCTTGTTTGGTCTTACTTGATGTTCTCTGCGGGGCCCAAGATGGTCCTGCCCAACGCTGTGGACTGGTACGATGTAGCATGCAGGTAATCAAAGACCACTTCCTGGATATTGGTCTCCACTTCCTGCATCTCTCTGAGGATCACCCCTCGCTCCCTCTCGATCTCTGACTCACCCAGTGTGCTGTTCTGGATGATGTCAGCCAGGATCTCCACAGCTTGGAGACACAAACACAACATTTTCTGATGTTATGTTGATTATGCTCTAAGAGTTGTCTGAGATGTTGTGCTGTCAGTTACTTTGAAGAAAAACCCTAAAGTTTTGTAAATGACTGAATCATTTCTGAAATTAGACCAGTTATATAAAATATTTATAAAATCCCTTACCAACATGATATTGACGTGACATAAAATCTTGTGCAGGACTGCTTTAATACTTAATAAGACTGCACTGCATTGAAATAAGCGAACTTGTTTACAACTAGATTTCTTTTCAAAGCGTGTCGTGATTACATGTAGATGACATCCGTGAGGAAATGCTACTATTCTTCCAGGACTTACAGACATTTAGACTTTCAGCATTGCATTCTGATCTACGAGTCTTTTTTTAATGCCAAGGAGTAGAAAATGTACTGGTCCTTCTATGATGATTTGTTCATACTATATTGGAAGCAGCACGGATGCTATTATCTGTCACCAATCTGCATCATGGATCTTCACACTTCATCTCAGCGTGGCCATAATCTCACTGTCATCATTCAGCCCCTCTGCTTGTCAGTACCTCGGGGGAGATCCTTAGAGAAAGCCTTGGCGTAATACACAGTCTGCTCCCGGGACGTGTAGGCGTTCAGGTGAGCGCCCATGTTCTCGATCTCCAACTCCAGATCCAGCTGAGAGCGTTTCTTGGTGCCCTGTCACACACATACAGACTCAGATGAACAAACCTCAGAAAATGTTTTGTAATATTAATGACAAGTCATATTAATATTTTATTTTTTACCTCATGAATGTTGCATTTCTATAAAGAATGTTAAACTATGCTGCCCTGAAGGATTCCACTGTGTCCATGTGCCTCTAGATGAGATCAACAGGTATTTTGCTAATGTCATTTTTAACCTACAATAGCTATTTTCTTTGGAATGGGTTCGTATATGTCAATAAAGTGAAGTGCTTGCTGTGTTGTTACCCTCTCACCTTAAATGCCATATGCTCCAGGAAGTGGGCAGTGCCATTATTCCTCTTGTTCTCATAGCGACTGCCAGCATCTATCCACAGGCCCACCTGGAAGGAGTCAGTTATTAATATCCACATCCACTGTAACACAACTCCTGGCATGA